AGGGAAGGAGACACGCCAATGCACGATGCCGTGAGGCTGACCCGCTACAAAATGATCAGGCTGCTGATTCTGTATGGAGCGGATCTGACTATAAAGAACTGTGTAAGTAAGAGCAAAAAATGCAGTCATTCAAAAAGCTTTAGAGTAAGTTTGCCTTCAGAGCAGTTTCATAGGTTTCAAGGCCAGGAGAGACTATTGTGAACAGACTTAATTAGATCACTTCAGAGTTAATTAAAGCAGAGCTGACACAGGGAAAGTATAACTTGGGGGAGGTCAGGGAAAAGAGGGGAAACCAGCACCTCTTCTAAAACCAGAACCCATCAGCTGCAACTTGAAACACCGTCACATCTTTCTGTGATTTATTTCAATGAGACATACCATATGTTGAAAGGATGTACCATACAGACACTTGCTCTCTGCACAACCCCTGGCTTCAACCACCCCTGAGACAGCAGAGATCTCAGCTTGCCAGCGAAATCTCCTTTCTGTTAAGCCCACAGCCGATGGCGAGCCCAAGCACCACATCTGGCCGACTGGCTGTTAACCTGACCATAGGGCAACACCCCCCCGTGGCTCAGCAGGGCTGCAGTTTAAGAAGTCCCTCGCTTGACTCTTTGCTCAGAGCCACCGCAGCAGCAGCAGATGCGTTGCCAGAGCTCTGTGACCACTTGTGAAAACAGAGGGCGTCACAGCCCCCTTCCCCCCAAACCCAAACTGAGCAGCAGTGGGACAGACAGCGACTTTCAGCAATGGCAGTCAATGTTTTTGATTGGCAATCGATCAAAACTTAAGGGGGCAAGGAAGAAACCAGTCACTGCAGCACTTTGCACTCCCAACTCTCTGCCCATGAAGCAGGGCCACTCCCGGCATCATCCCTCACCAGGGTATGACCACAAAGAAAGGTACAGCCCCAAAGACTTGCACTCTCAGGCTTTGTTTGCACACAGAAGTTGCTCCTGTTTAGTTTAGACGTGGTTCATAACCTAATTAAACCAGTGCAAGTTCTCATCTGAATTCTCCATTAAACAGAAGAGTGGCTTATTGAGGTTTCATCTAGAGTATTTCTGATCAGTTTAAACTAGATCAAAAGAAACACCTGCACATTCTGCTAGTCACGGTATTTGCTAACATGGCTTAGACCCACTGAAACACAGGGAGATTTTAGGCTGGGACTGGATCTGTAGAGCAAAAGGATGCAGATCTCACCTCGTGTGTGCAGAAGGGCCTTGCATCTGGCAGACGCACCGTACAAATATTTAGGGAAGAATGAAGGACTCGGTAATCACTGGCTGAAATTAAATCTTGCTTCCTCCGCTTTTTTAACCAGCAAGGGAAAACCCCTATGGATCTTGTTCTTCAGTGGCAGAATGGCACCAAAGAGATATTCAACAGCCTGAAAGACAATTCCTATAAGAGCGTCCATCTAGGCAAGCTCTGAAGAGAGAAACCAGACCGCTCTCTTTTTGCTGCTTCTCAATGCTTCATATAAACCTGGAGGAAAATAGCCCTGAACATAGTATTTTTATTGAAAACATTTACAGTACTGGATTATTTGAGGTACCTTCACTGAAAACTGCAAAAAAAACATGCAAAGAAATTATTTTAAAAGGCAGGTTGAGCATTAATATTCCACTGGTTCTAAAACGGCTTTATTTATTACTATTTATTATTTATTTATTTTAAAAAGTAATTTTTAATGATTCACAATATTATTGTAGCTTTTTTTTAGAGAGCTTTACATCCTAATGCAATCTTTGCTAGCAACACAAATCCCATTGTCTTAGATGGTAGCATTTCCAGCTACATTAGCAACTTCCCTCAAGCCTTCCAACAGCTCTAAATAGCGAAAACTTGCAACTGTTGCCTTGTCTCTGCCAAATTCTCACTATTAAAATAATACATTACATGAGGGTGATAGGTGGAAGAGCAATGGAAGACAGCGTGCTGAGGTGCCAAGTGGATTTAAAGCAGCAGTTGAGTAATGGGGTTTACACAGGGTTTGGCGACTGTGGTCGATAAAGAGCTCAAGGACAGAGCTCCCAACCGTCACGTAACCGTTTGGACTGCGGGATTCAGATGCAATGTTATGAAGGTGAGAGGAGACAGTATCAGGAATGTGAATTTTTTTTAAGCTCGACTACTATGAAGTCTGATGATTGAAGAACGTAAAAACAGATATGTATATTTGTAAATTTGTACTGCTTTTTCTGTACATTTTGTACTGATCTATTTCAGATTAAATAAACAGAGTGCTTCTTTTTATTTGCTGGAGTGGATTATGGAGTGGTGAGCATGCACAGGGTAATTCTGTCTCTCTAAAGAAAGTTCACATCTTGGCCTCTGTAAAATTCTTAAAAACTCAGAAAAAAAAAGTCTCAGCTAACTGTAGCAGCCAGCCCTTGAGCTACCTCCCTGCCACTGTGAGATAAATGCCTTCTCTCACTTTGCTAAATGGAAACCACATACACAAAAGCAGAAAGATGGTACTTGAGCAGCCAGTAAAACAAAGTTACAGTTTTATTACCGAGTTTGATTTAAAATCCCAGTTTCTCAGCAAGTCGGTACTTACTACGTGGGGCACACGAGACCACTTCAGTTGCCCAAGCCAAGGAAGACAGCGAGTCCTGCTAAGAAAGGCAGGCACCTTGCCCTTTGATTTAGCAGAAGCAGAACAGTACCGCGCCATCAGTGGCATCAATGGCCAACTTCATTGGGATGTTACATGCCGCATTCAGTTAAAATCCCAAAGTCTCACAGCCTGGCCTCCCAGCAAAATATGTCACGGGCTCCTACACCCCTTCACCAACCCATGTAGTTGGCTTCTAGCCAGCAGGCTTCAATGTCTGGCCAAAACAATCTCCTGGGCAATGAGGTGGGGTCAGGAGTGGGCAGCGATGGACAGTTGTTACCGGAGTGCCCATTTTGGAGACTAAATGAATTTACAGGAATCCCCCAGAGGCGCAAGCAGAAGCAGCACCTACTCTGCCCGCAGCCAGCTATCCTAGACCGAGGCCAACAGCTTCAGGCAGGTGAGACTTTTCTCACACGAGCACCATAACCTGCCAAGTGTCACCTTGCCAGCCGTAGGCTTTATTTGTGACACACTCTTTTCTGTAAAAATTACGGCACACTTTCGCTCGCTGCCCTTCTCTGTGAGCCACTACTTCACTACTTGTTTCTGCGCAATTACCCGGACACTGGGAGCACGCCTTGCAGGAAATAGAAATGACATCAGCGCTGGCTAACTCTGTTTATCATCCTAAACGAGAAGCAACCCAGTTATTCAGGCACCAAAGTGGCCAGAACAACGTGCTCCAGGAAACTGGGAGAGAAATAGCTTTTCAATCAGTTCCTGAAGCACTGTATCTACTTAAAGGGCAAAGACGCAGACTGGAAATTTTTAAAATCAAGTCAAACAAGTAGCAAGAAGGATCTCTAGCATTCAAAAGCCTCCTTCCAAATGCTAGTTACCAAACACCTCCTATCGTGCTGGAGGTAGGTTATTCTCTGGCCCAGGCAAGATAACACGTCATTCAGAAAATTGCACCGGACAAACACATTTCTGCTTCTTCTCTGGTTAGAGCATCATTTTGGAGCCAAGTCCATAAATGATAAACTACTGCATATATATATAAAAACCATCCCAGTACCTATGATAAATCAGACTCAAATCAAAGTCAACAAGTAAAATAATAACATAAAGGAAAAATGCTTCATTATTCGTCAAATAAAGCAAAAGCTGTCGTGACTTATGCCAGCATTATATAGAACTGTTAAGTCTACTGAGAACTTCATCCATTCTGCCCAGTGCAAGAGCTCAGAGATGACCCACTGCAAGATTTCTGCAATATTTTATGTGCTATAACTTCCACTTCTCAGCGTGTTGTCAGATGCAAATAGAGAACTGGAATATTCACAGTAAAGCTGGCTCAAGAGTATCTTGAGTACAGTAGCTTACATCATTTTTATATTGGTTTAATCAAAAGAAAAACTTCAGTCAACATTTGGAAGAGCTCTGAAAATGCTCTGCTGATTATAAATCTGTTATGATTGCTTTTTTGGCAGCCAGATTAGGTTTACTGAGGCATTAACAGGAAGGAAAACGGAAAGGCAGGAGGCAGCAAAATGAGCACTCTCATAGGCAAAACTGCCAGACCAGGACATAAAGAAGGAAATGATGCAGTAAAAATGATGTGACGTGGAGGCTGCTCAGGCCAAGGTGAGACAGCTGTTACGGCGCGACTGCAACATACCACGCTGAGCACACATTCGGTGTAACCTTGGGCTCTTCCTTCCCATCTGCGGTAACCACCTCATGTCACTGCTTGGTTTTAAAACCTGCAGGACAGGGATGGCTTTTGGGACGTTTGTCTAGCAGGTCAGGTCAGTCAGTCCTACTGTAACACAAATATGAAATATCTCTTAGCAAGTGACAGATGCTGGCATCGTCTTTATAGCCATTGATCATGAAACAGAATGGGAAGCAGATTATTTTTTTTTTTTTTTTACTGCACCATTATTCTTCACAGGCCACTGAAGATAAACTTCATCTACTGGCTTGCGGTTGTAAGGCTTAGCACAGAGATGTGTTTAAAACTTGAGAAACTGTAAGAGCTAGACTTTGCATTCTTAGAAACATTTTTAATAAAAAGGGAATACACTTGTACAACTGAAAATTTCTATGTTAGAAACATTGTGTTGAGTTTGCACTAACTCCAGGAAGACCTAGGACAAGGTGGAGAGATGGTCTCCGGATCTTGGCCAGAAGCCCAGCGTGACCTTTCACATGTGAAGTACCATTCAGCAGACTCATTCCCACAGCTTTCCTCACTTGAACACCAGAAGAATAATTCTTCCCCAGGCTAAATAAAGTAGTAAGGGAGGAACGGGGACAGCTGGAAGGTGGGGGGATGGAGGCTCCTGTTGACAATTGGTTCAGTCCTCAAGCTTGAGTCTTAGCTTTTTTGCAGGCTGGCAGTGTTGTTTCTTCCTCCTCAACCTTGCGAGGCTTCTTCACTGTGTACACTACCCCACAGGCACTCTTCCGAGTTTCTGGAATATACAAGCAGAAGCCATAATACTTCAAATCAGATGACACTAATGCATTTAATGCATACTCATCGCAGGTGTCCATGCCCCAAAGCACAGTTCAACACGTTTAACAGCCAGCCAGTCAGCACATATAGCAGGTAAGCAACCTGCACAGGCAGGAGCTGGGGATGCACTGCCTTGTGGAGTGGGGAAACTAAAGGGGGAAATCTGATGGTGGGTGTAGAATTACAGCAAACATAAGGGAAAACCGAGGTCTGCAGGGGTTGAGGGGCTGCAGACACACAAAACCATAGGAAACCAGGCTTAATCAGTTCAATAGTCACAGGACACATGCTTGAAGCATTGTCAAAAGCATTTCTGCATTTCTGAGCGAAACATACTGTTCTTAAAAAAAAAATATCTATATATATAAAAAACCATGTATTCCCATACCCCAGGATTCTTAAACAGACTATGCTGGCACAGCTATATTGGCATAGGCTCCCCTATACATACCAAGTAAGTGGCTTTATGGTATTCAAGAATATTTTATTTAAAGAACCCTCAGCATTACCATAAAATACTACTGTGTGATTTATCAAGCTCCTCATATGTTTGCCAAACAACCCAGTGAGCCCAATCCAATCTCAGAACTACTTGTGGGAGGCTTCTCTGCAAAATCTGAGGTAGAAGAGACTCCCTACAACTACTCCGATAGCAAAGAGGCTCTGCAAGAACCTTGCCAAAAATATATTGACTTATTCTGGGCCAGTATTCTTTGGGGGACTGGGAAATGACATCTGCTATTTAATTTCACAGGTAAGACAGATGATGGTCTTGAGAAATTCCCCATAAAGTTGACAAAAATTCTTCCAACACACTGCCTTCATGTAGATAAGCAGCAGGCTGGAGGAGGACCCTGTTCACAGAAATGCCCTCTCCAAGAGATCAAAGCTACTTGCTGTGAATTACAGCAGGTTCAAGCCCCACCTCTACTGAAACAAGAGATGCAAACTAAATCCTACCGTGTGTTTGAAACTTAGAACAACTCAAGTTGTTCGGAAGGTGACTAGAAATCATATATACCCAACAAACTTTGACAGAAGTAGAAATTAAGAGCTAGATGCAACTACTCAGTCAAAGTTAAACTGCCATCAGAATAAACAACAAAAAAATCAAGAAACACTAAGAACCAACAAACAAGCATGTGAAAGGGAGGGTAGAGATGGAGAAATTGGTGCTACGGTGGAAAACAAGGGTCAAAATTGATTGCTGGAACATAAACTGTGGCATCTCTGTGCTGCACTGATACCACAGGACACAAAATACAACTGGAAACCTTTTGATTTCCAGTGCAGGGGGCCACAAGCTAAATTTCCACTTTCTTAATATTAAAAATGGGCAAGTAGAAGAGAGCTACTGTGAGCTGCCTCTGCTGAGAGCATAAGGAAGCAAGTTTTGTTTCACCAAAACACTTCCAAGACATTGTATGAATGAAACATTTTTTTCTAAGCAGCAAGCACTTCAGGGTATTTGATTTTGCACCAAGCTTGAAACGGTCCGCACTGAAGAGCAAGTCAGAAAGAGAGCACATAAAGAAGCATCAGAAAGGGACACGGCAAAGGTTGCTCCTGCACTCATGCTGCAAGAGGGGAAATGCAAAACACAGGCATCCTGATTTTCTCAAAGTCAATGACGTAGTTCCTGCTGGTGTCACCAAGAACAGCATTCAACCCTTTCTGAAACAAGGAATAGTTTCACTACGAAGCACAACAGGCAGATCTGTGTTTTGGCTAAACAGTTGATGACTCTTTAATGTGGTTAAGCAAGCACTCCAGCACAGACAGCACCATCAATTCGGCCACTGATTTGCTAACATGCCAAAACAGGAAAATAAACCACCCTTGCTACACGAGCTCCTCTTCATGCATTGGATAAGGGAGCTAAAACTCTATAAAGTCTCAGACCTTCTGGAAAATACTTAACACACACAAGTGTTACTTAGCTGAGTTTGCATACGCTTTTCACTTACCTCCATGAAGCATGGTGGCTCTGCAGTTGGTAGACACGGCTGCCTTGGCTTCGCTTTCCGACAGGCCAAACAGCAAACCTCTGTCACCTTTGTTCAGGATCAAAATGCACAGAAAGAAACAACTAGAATAGGGAAGTTTGTCTGTGCGATAGGTTTGCTTACTCTACAAATAACTGGGAATTAGCAAAGCTGTAACTCAAAGTGACATTTTGCATAAGGTTACCCAGAGGCAGGGAACTGAGGCACCCAATTCTCCTGGCTGCAGTTCTCCAGCAGCCCTCCTGGAAAGCTCCTGGCAATGTTGCTTTTTTCCAGTCAAGAAGCTGTACTTTTGAAAATAAAAGTCTGCCAACATAGAAAGATTTTTATATGCATAATCTAGTAAAAAATAAAAAAGACCCCGTTGAAAATTTCAGTTTTGGGGAATGGGCACTGTCTGCTACAAAAGCATTATGCTGAAAAGTTCCCAGCCACCTTGAGCAGGGATGACACCAGATTAGGTATGTTAATTTGGGTTCAGCCTGACTGCTCTTTTTAAGAAGGAAGGAAATGTTGCACATAAAATCCTTCCAGGCCACACACCCTCCCACACGGTTCTCACGACTCAGAGCACGCTCCTCCCTTCGAGGGACAGTCCAGATACGTGCTTGGGGGCAGGGAGGGGGTAGTAAATATGCATCCGCGGTTCTCACGACTCAGAGCACGCTCCTCCCTTCTCCCTTCGAGGGACAGTCCAGATACGTGCCTGGGGGCAGGGAGGGGGTAGTAAATATGCATCCAAATTCCTAAAAGAAGGGGAGAAAAGACACTCTCCTTGGTTTCTAGAGCACAACTGCTTATTTAACAGCACATACATAACTAAGGATTGGAAAATTCAGAACAGAAGTAACCTGCACTTAGATAGGAACTTTATCTTTCTTAATATAAATACGATTTTACAGCTTCTTCTACCAAAGACGTGGCACCTCAGAGATCCTAAGTAATAATTTCTGGTTTGGTTCAGAGTGTCCATACATTTTTATGGTTTTTACTCATTTCTCCATTTATGCCCACACATTATCAATGCATATCACAACTAAACATACCTGTAGCTGAACACAGACGCTACTATTTACAGCGACAGCTCATGCCACCCCATGACTCAGAGCTGTTGCTCCTTCCACACCCACTCAGAGCCCTGATTCATTGAATTGGTCACCAACAAGCATCACTGTGTGAAGTTCAAGGAGCATAAAGGATGGAATTATTTCAAACCTACTTTGAACTTTCACGTGTTACTATTAACTGCTGCCTTTGACTTAGAAAAAGGATACAGATTAGCCACGTCGTAAGGACCTCGTAGTTCTAGAGGCTAAAACAAAACAAAGAAGGTTGGATATGTGCATGCACGCTCTCGCAGGCTGACCCAGTGTAAGCAGGCAGGACAGGGCTATCAGGAAGGCAAAATTAAATGCTACATAATAGCAAGCTGCCGAAGATGCACTAGGAAATCAAGCAAATACTATTATTTTGGAAAACAGTCCCCATCTGGGAGAAAACTGTCATGGAAGATACCATAGCAGCAAAAACCACCCCACCCAACCAAACAAAAAAAAAAACCCCAAACCCCATAATACAATTCTTTGATAAAACAGATTGATTAAAAAACCCCACAAGATGGCAATCATATTTAAAATTACAATTTTTATATGTTTAATATATAATTAAAGCTGTATTTTCAGCCACAGATAAATCCTCAAATTGTTCTGACTTCAACAAAAATCTGGGACTTACCCTTTCAGCTGCACTAGATATAACAATGTTCTGGAAAACAAAGAAGAACAAACGTTCAGCTGTCAGACAGCATCAAGAAACTAAAAAAAATCAGCAAGCAGCAAAGACTTTATAAGCATTAGCTAAGTTCAGGCTCAGAGCCCAATTAACCATCAGAGTATCTGATGCCCTCAGATGAAGTGAACTCTAGCAGGGTGTGGATCTTAATTTGGGGACGTGAATAAATCCAGGTTATCTCCCTGTCCCCTACAGAGAGAGGGGCACAGGGACAAGCCCTCCCTTGCAGTCGCAAGCCTCTCCCAGACCGATGCGAGTTGAATAAGCACCGCGCCTTTTAGAGGGATAGGCTAAGCAGTATAAATGTTGGCACGATGGCATTAAGCAAGCACCTATCAGCCTGTATCTCTCATCGTGGACTTTAAAGGAAGCTTAAGTGCAAAGAAGAAATGCGGAGTTGTGCACACTGTGCTAAGCAGTGCCCCCTTTGTTTACGCTAGCTGAAAGAGGCCCCACAAAAATGACAACTCAGCCTGAGCTGTAACAGAAATGGACTTCGGAGTCCAGGATCCCCCAGAAGCAGCCTACAGATAGTGCCTTTAGACAGTTTGGTGCTCCTGAATTTTCAGCCTACTCTCTGTGTCGCGGTACAACTCAATCCTAACTTCAGCACTCACACTGGCCTTAATCAAACTCATACTGGTTAAGGAAACCTGTCTGCAGCTAGGCAGTGGCTGCCCAATTCATGCCATACACTCACTTCCCTCAACACTGGCACCCCCACAAAAATAACCAGGCAGAGAGACATCCTTCTCCCTTCTCCCCCAAAGGGTTTCTACAGAACAGGTACGTGACTGCTCGGGGGCTGGTGGAAACCACAGCTCAGCTGCCAGTGCTTCTCTGATGTTAAACCTCCGAAGATGCTCACCCAGGGGGAGACTGTTTTGCAAAGGTGGAAACTGCAGCAGCAGCAAAAAATTCCTTGCACCTTTTATTACACTGAATAAAAGGCTTTGGGAATTCCTGTTTGAGTGGGTGGGAATGAGAATTGTACTGAGGCAGCGAAAGACTTTCCTTCTCTGACGTCAGTACCACCAACACATCACACCACCTCCGGTTACAAGGTGGGGCTTTTGATCCCTTCCCCGCACTGCTTTGCTTGTCCTGCCACCTCCCCAGCCCAAAGAGCAGGGCAGACACTGGAAGAAAATGCTCTGTGCACAGCTGGAACTCAACCCATAAAAGAGCTATTTGCATGGAAATGAAAGTGTGTTCACACTGTGCCCAAGGTTTCCTTGTGTGTCGAGGAGGAAGGATGGGACAGACAACTCTGCCTCAGCATAAGGAAAGCAAGAAGCGGAAGCAATACATACATCAAAGTGACTTAGCAGCACACGTCGCAATGGAGCCTAGGACATTTCTTTCTGTGTAGTTCACCTTTGAAATGACTGCACTAGGGATCCCAAGGGTGTTTTTGAGGTTCAGTGGTGCTGACTGCATGAATTTGCTGGGAAAATTCAAGTCTCCTGCTCTGAGCTCTAGCAACCAATGCCTGTCTCCCAGGCTCAGAGAAGCTCCCAAAGCTGCTGCGTGAGCCATCTTGAACCCGCACGGGATCGTGGTTCACTGCTGTGCATTGGAGACACGCTCTGCCTGGTTCAAAGGCAACTGCCTTCCAGTTAGGGGATGGGTAAGATGGGAGAAGGAGACAAGAGCAGACAAGAAAAGCACTGCTAGTGAGTGAAGGAGAGGCAGGCAAAGGCAAATCCAAGGGAAGGGCTAAAGGGAAGAATTCAAAGGCAAAACATTATCTCCCCAGGTAAAGGAGACAGCAGCTGTTCAGCACACTGCTCCAGGCGCAGTACCCACACTCAGTTACCAAAACACAGGAGGTGAGGGACTGTGGCTGTGCACACCTTCTGTCTGGCAAGGCAAGCGAGTCCCTCCCTCATTCCCTGCACATTTTAACATGTTTTAAGGAATCTTCTCAATGCCATCTCCGAGGACACCAGCACATTTCTGGAAGTTTCTCTGCCCTACCCACAACAGAGAAGGAACAAAAGGATCCAAAAGCTGCTACAAGTTCAGCAGCTATAGGTTACAGAAGGCAAGAGCTGCGTGCCAGGTGCCAATGCAAGCAGCCTATGGACCAACTATGTCTCCTTAAAAAAAGGCCTTTACATAACTGATGGAGACAAACTGCCCATGAGGGCTAATAACCATCTCTGCTGGCCCACCAGGTACCGAGCCTGGAGGCAAAAAATAAAGACAAGCTAGCAGTCCTCTCCCAGCACCTAACAACAACTTGTCACGCTGAGCTCCGGCTGATTTACCTTCCAGGCACAGATGATGCACTAGACTGACAGATGCAGAAAGAAAGGGCACTGTGCACAGACCGAGCGCCTGAAGGTCTGACTTGCTCTGTCTGTGACGCCAGCTCAGCTGATGCTCTCCAAATCAACAACTGCGTAAGAAGCACATCTTTAACTGCACAGAGGAAAAGAGGAGCACTGGCAAAAAGTAATCCCAAAGGAAAGGGGTTTTGTGTGTATGCACCTCATTGCCAAGTCAGTATTTTGTGCAATTAACTTCCAGAGCTGGGCTTCTCAGGAAAGGCCATGCAAATACTCACTTTCTTCTGTAGCACTAAGGAAATTCATCTCTTTGACCCACTCTGCTGTCCTATAAAATGGGCTGCCATACCTGAGGGGAACTGATGTAATGATGGATCTGCTTTTAATTGACCTTCCGAGCTGCAAATCCCACTTCAGACTACACCTGCAGGATAATGCAAATTTTGGTTTCTCTGGACTAGCTAAGTGTGGCAAAAGCAGTTTCCAATAAAGGTGGTGGGAGCTACAATCTCTTTTAACTTGGATATGTATTATGATATGCTTCCCTGTTAAAAAAAACATGGCCTGAGAGGACCCAGCATGACAGGCAGCTTAGCCTGGTAGCCTGGGAGGAGGTAAGGTATGAAAGCAATGGATTACATGCGTCTCAGCTGCAAGTGTTACTTCTTCCTTGGGTTTCAGTAGCAGGGAAGAATGCAGTTGATCTGACTGCAGCAAAGCCCTGGCTGATAGCCAGCTAGCTGTTGTGTCTGTTTTGTATACTGGGAGTTTACTAACCATTTAACAAAACAAAATTTCTACTTTTTTCTTAGTATTTTCTACCCTCCTTATTCAAGGTATACTATCAAAAAAGAGTTTCTGATCAATGAGAAATATGAAATGGAGGATTTTAAGAGGTGCATGGATTTCAGTTCTAGTGCAAACCTTGGATCTCTGGCAGTGTTTTTTTTTCCTTTTGCTTTGGGTATTGCATACAACAACAGATAGGTTGTTCTGGAAAAGAGTCTAACAGTTTGACAGCTTCAGAAAAAGCATGCAGTGGTGCATGGCTAGAAGTATCTGGAGCTAGAATAACTTGTCCTTGTATTAGTAGGCAAAGATTCAGACACAGCTTCAGACACCCCAGCATCAAACTCATTTAAAATGGCTCAGTCTGTACAACTCCAGAAGAATTTGAACTGAATTAATTAGCTTGCTTTCACTTTTGAGAGCTTACCTTTCCTTTGCAGATCTGCATCAGGCTGATCGCATTTGAAATTGTGTATCTTCTCATTGTGGAGTCTTTGATGGCAGGCGCGTAAAGAAGTTCAAAGTAAATGCCTCGATCTATTGCCTTCACATGAAAGAGAGTGATCAAAAATCAAAAGGAGAGAAGCATAACAATCTAACAACTGCTGTCTATTATTGATGCAGCTTATTCTCAGTTTAATGGTGTGATATATGAAAAAATTAAGGTGGAATTGTTCCAGCAAGAGCACAGCATAGCCCTGCAGGGGGGGCGGAGGGAATGTTTCACTGTACACCAGATATGTGTACTTGAATCTTGGGATGACAGATGAATGAGGTTTAACAAACAAAGAAATACCAGCCACTTATTAGTTGCAATTGGCTTTCCTCTATCATAGAGTTGAGGAGATGGGTAACCACTGCTGGTCAGAAACAAGTCCTGAAATTTTGAGGAACATCCTCCTCTAGCCCCACAGCCTGCTGTAAGGAAGACCACCGCTTCCTGCAGTACCCACCTCTTGTAGATGAGGAATTTGTCCTTGCAAAAAAGCAGCATGAGGTCCCTTCTCTCCTGTCTCACAGCATACTCTGGTATTATTTTCAGCTGCTTTAAAATCCCTTGCTATCTCTCAAAGTACCTCACCAAAAGCCTAGTATTCTTGGTTTTGCAAACACACAGAGAAAAGTTAAGCAACTTGCTATAGGACACAGTGAGTTACCAATAAAGAGACAATTCAAAGCTAGGAGTTCCTAGCTCCCTGGCCTGTACTACATTTGCCTGAAGCATTACTCTATGCTTTATACTCATATTATTTAAAAAAATGCTGCAATGTTAATACTATAAGAAAGCGCAGTAACTGAATACAGATGGAATTAATCCAGCTCCCATCCATGCCTGACCTCTGAATGCGAGCACAACAGAAGCTGTGTACATATCAAATGTTTTACATAGAGCTGGTCCAACATCCACAAACAAGAGAAGCCTGAATGTATCAAAACCAAAACAGGCGATGGCAATACACCAATTTCCAGTCAAGCGGATTTTTAACCTCATCCCCACCACTTCAGCTGCTTGCCAATCTGTCTGTCTGGCATCACAACAACCAAAACTGACTGCCCGAGGATGCACAAAACCAGCCTGACAGACAGACTGCCTTGAAGCTGGGAGTGTGGAAGCTGCAAAGTAGCTTATAAGGAAAATGTCTCTGAACACAGGACTCCAAGAGCCACCCAGCTCCTCACCTGGGTCAGCTGTTGGAGTTTTAGGCAGCTAGGGTACTTTCAAACAACAGCTCATACAAAATTTTTATTCCAAGTAGAATGTTGAAATTCCCAGTCTATAGTAAATTCTAAAGTATTACTTTCGTTCTGTTTCAGGATTAATTCTAGTTAATTTTTAGTTTTTATTGTAGGTCAAACTTTCTGCAGAACAGGAAGCAGGATTTCTAGCCAATTCCAAATTTTAATTACTAAGGACTACATCAGCCAAGCATGCCCATGTGGAATTAACCCTGACATACACTCAGAGGAAAAAAGTAGTTCACCTTAGAGCATGTTCAGATTAAGCTTTCTGGCAAACCACAAACAGTAGGCAGAATCGTATTAACAAAATATTTGATCCATGCTGGTAGTCGTCTTGTGTCCCCCAGCAGATATGTAGCAATCCCACATTTGGTTCATTTGCCAAGACATTCCTTTGTCTAAGTATGGATTCAATACAGTTCTCCTCCAAATAACTGGCACCACATCCTTCTCCCAAATTAACACTGTCATTCACATCCTCCTGCCTTTCAAATCACAGGGCTGATTATCTATCCTGACACAGCTGTACCACTTCTGGTTTGGGAAGCAGCTTAGTCAGCAATCACACCACATCTCACTGCTTAGCACAGGAGCGGCCTTAAGGCTGTGTTTCCACTCCTTGGGAACACCACTTCTGCTGCCTTAAGTGGGGGACAGGAAGGAGAAAAAGAAAGAACATACATCACTGTGTATTAAATGCTGCAGTGGAGGCCTTGAAGTGAAGGACATCTGAAACAACACTATACATTATGCAAGAAAATAAAAGAACCACTTGGATGGGAATGGTGGGAGGCAAATGGTAGGGAATTCAACTCAGACTGACATTAAATACAGAATTTAACAGCAAGAAAACAATTTAGATGTAAATTTACCATATTCACAGGGGGTCTTCTGAAGTAGAATGGCAGCTTTTCTGTTACATTTATGCATACCAGATCCACATCTAGAGTTGTACAAGCGATCTACAGCAGAGAAATAGGAACAGATTATTAGATATACAAAAAAAATGCATAACCAACTTTAGATACACTGATATTCTCCTTCATTTCTTAATGAAAAAAATGCCTCTCCAGAATGAGTTCAGTTTTAAAATGAGGAGGTACTATGCCTTGCAGGTATGCCAATAAAACAGCAGGGCTACAGGTGCACAGCTTGAGCAGTTTGGGCTTAAAACCCAAGCCTTCTTTCACTTACAGAACTACTTTTCCAGTAAAGTAATGACCAATCGAAAGGCAAGACATTGCTTTGTTTTTATCTGACATTGGGCATGCAGAAGCAATGCTGGCTTTTGGCAAAAGAACTCACAGCTAATGAAGGACAACCCCAATTTACAAAGGGAACAGTGCAGGAACTGCCCCTTACCCCATCACTCTCTAATTCCAGTGCAGCAACTGTTCCGTTTTCAGGATTAAGTATTTTTATCAGAAGCAATTGAGAAAAGACTGAAAGAAAAGCAGACTTTTAGACAGTGACTGGCGGTTCCTCATGTCCAGTACTGGAGGCTGATCCACACTGCCCCACTTTCCTGGCTGGGTGGGGAATGTCTCTGGAGGAATCTGAAGGTGGCACTGAAGGTTACAGTTTAAAAGCTTAGCTTTGAACTCACACCACAATTTACAGCCTGTATTAAAGGACGGAAGGAGCGAACAAAGGGTGGAGAATCTCCACGCTGACATACAGAGAAAATCAAGTGCACATAGAAGAGAGCCCTTGATTTACATATAATCTCATGCACACAAGACATGTAGGAATTATATATGCCTAGCCCATAAAGATGATTACACAGGGCCAGATTAATGTCTGTAAGCAGCATCGTAACAAAGAAGATAAAATGGGCTAAAGATGTTGAAAAGGAATTTTCTATGCGTAGGGGAACCCTCTGCTTTCAGAAACCTGCCAGCAACTGCTCCACATACACCTGGGCCGGGCGCCAGCCATTCATCCCTCCTCACACCAGCACGGAAGTGGTGGGGGCTGCAGGGAGTCCCAGGGATGGGCCGCGGGGTATTCGCACTCTGCTCCAACGCAGGGCAGGCTGTTGCTTTGCAAACTAGTCTTCCACCTGTTTGTTCACGTGAAATTTGGACGGAGGTGAGAGCAGAGGCCCAGCTTTAGAAATGTTTCTTAGCTGTTGATAGCACTCCCTCCTAGACCAGAGAGCCACTGCACGCATGCAGGCAATTCAAAGATCCAGCAAACCACAAGGTTTTTGATGTTAGAATGTCTCTACCAGGCCATCCAGACTAAACTTTACTTTCTTGCCCTACCTGCACCAACTCTGTTAAGCAGAACTCTGTTGAAATCTAGTGCATCAAATGAGACTTGCATGTGTAAGTTTAGCCCTACTACAGCCAGCTTTAATCCTTTTCTTATGTAGAGTACAAACTACCATCTAGACAGAGGTGATTTATGGGAACACTCACAGAGCAAATAGCTCTGAATGATGTCCTAGAAAAGATGTCAGTGAGGCCACAGGAAATTCAGGAAGAGAGAAAGCTGAAGGAAAGCAAGAATACACGTCAGAAACATGCAAGTTGCCCTATGTGATGGGAAAACAAGCCTTCCTAATCAGCTCCAGAAACACTGGAAAACTCTTTTCCATTTTGCACATTAAGCACAGTGGGAAAGGGAGTGACCCAATGCCAGGGTATCTACAGGATTCCAGTGACAAGAACATCTCAGAAAACACCACCAAGGAAAAACGAATTTAAGAGCCATACTCCCCCAAAGGAGGAATTCCCACACTACACAGAAAGTTGGAGAGGAGATTTCTCCAAACACTCCAATGTTCAGCCTTGCTTTGGCTCCCAGACAAGTCACACACGCATGCAAGTTAAGGTTACCCTGCCTGATGAAAGGATCTGAAGTGCAAAAACTTCATACAGAAAATTATATGCAGCAGTTGCCCAGCCGGGTGCTTGCCCGGCCGCACTGCAGGCAAGAGCCCCATCTGCTGGGAAACTCCAGGCAGCCATAAAGAAATAAATTCGCCACTGCTTGGATGGCCTGAAGAAAGCTTTGGCAAACATTTTAGGAATAAACATTGAAATTTGGCTTTGCACTACATCCTCAGACTTATATAAGCAAGTTTTTTTAGATACTGGTGATCCGCTAATTTCTGATGAACAGTAAGCAAAACTAACTAATATGATTAAAACAGAATTCTTAAAAAGCAAAATTTTTGAAAAGCAACAGGCACAGACCTTATTATTGGCATGGAGTAGGCATTCCCGTTGCAGCCCAAAACAATCCTCTCGGGAGACTTAAAGAAGGAGCATGTTCTACAATTATCTTGGCAAACACAGCTTCCTCATACCCCTGAGGATATAAATTATTTGGAGAATTTGAGCACATCTTTCAGTACATATCACTGCCACACTCAGTCACAGAAAAGCTTCCCTGGCTCATGACAGGAGGGCAGAGAATGGTTTTGGGCTATGCTAAAATTAGAAGACATTTCCAATGGTCACGTATTTCTTTTACGAACACATGAAAAATCCTGTTCTGAGGAAAACAATCCAAGTGCCAAATTGTTGGCGAAAAAGATGATACTCTCAAAGTAATGTTGAGTTACCAACAGCCAATTTTAAAATATAAAGTTAATTTGTGGTGTGAGACCCACCCTAGAAGGCTTTATCCTTAACAGTAAAAGATCCATGCGTCCTAACAGCCAGAGTTATATGCTGAAACTCCATGCGTAATGTCGCTTGCGCCAGACTCCCTGTTGATACCTCTACAAAACTGACACAGCTCTATACAGAGATCTGGAAAACCTAAAATCTTTAAACAAAAGACAAACATACAAATCTGTCCTGAATGTGAACACGTAAGAAGGAAGTTTTCACCTCATGCAGTTTGCAAGAAAGATGCTTGGGTTCCCTCCCCAGCTTGAGTGCTGCCAGCATGGAAGGAGGCAGTGAAGATGGGCCCATCGACAATCCTGCTTCCTTCCTAACACACTGTCCATCACCTGCAAGAGAGTCAGCTTAACCTGTCGCTATCTGCATTGGCCTGCCTCTTTGTGCTGGAACAACTATCTGCGCGGCTGCATGCTGAATCAGAGCGGGAAAGTGGATCTGCCTGCAAAGTAACTTGGCAAAAACTCTGGTTACTTTTCAGCCAAAAGCGTGTTCCTCACACCAAACTGCCATGCAGCTGAGCGAGCAGTTTCGCCAGCAGAGCAGACAGGGACCTGCAGAAATGAGTGGCTGTTTATGCCAGCTTAAACACTGCCGCAGCTGGACATCCAACCACAGCAGAACTCACAATATGGCTGAAAATACAAAATACCCACCCTTAAATGAGAAATAACCCTTTCCCCCCAAACAACACAGCGTGCCCCTGCTGATTACCTGGCTCCAGGTGCTTGCTTAAACACACAATAAATTGATTGAGCTCGCTTGAGAAGTGAGATTTTACATTCTTGCCAGAGACCAAAAGAAAGAGGTGGAGAGTGGCCCTCAAAAGTATTTTACAACTATTTGCCTCTCTCACACGCCCAAGAGTCCTAAAATCTTGCAAGGGAAATAAAAGCAGTCAGAAATGAGTTTCATTAAGCTGCAACTGTTATAATTAATGCTTGAATTCTTCTGCTGAATGATTCTTTAAAGTTCACCTTCTTCTACAGCCTCTTGCTTTGTACTTTACTTGCACAAGTTTTCAAAAAGGAGAGGAAATAATTTAGAAAAACAAAACAGAAGAATATCGGTTTTATGTGTCAAAACAGGTACTCAGGAGTACTAGAAAGTAGCTTTAACTTATTTAAAAACAAACAAACAGACTCGGTTTTATACTGACAAGCTCTCTTTGAAAGTACATTCTGGCACTTCTCCAAAGAGATTCGTGCTTGCTTTTGGTGTCCCTGTGCCTTCTTCACACTGCTTTAAACTGCACGCCTGCTTGCTACCTGCCAAGGCTAACAGAGACAGGTTGCTTCCACCTACTCTTCCAGTTCAGGATTAGTATTACTATTTATGAGCTTGCAACAGGTCAGATGTCACAATTTTGGGTTTTGTAAGAAAAACGTTCTGACAAAAAGATGACTTGCTTCCCGATGCTCTGCTTGATCAGACTACTTACATCAGCTGTTACCAAGTCTTTGAGAACAGTTTAATTAAAAATGAGAGAGACAGAGATAACGAACACCTATCACCCAACAAGCCAAGCTGAGATCATTCTGCCTTGGATGGCGTTTTAGAACTAGGAATTTTTCTGGTACGAAGGGTCTCTTCAAGATATAGAAGCTATGGATAAAAGCTGGAAGACAGTATGACGCTTGGTGCTGTTAGTAGGGGCTGAAGAATTCATGCACATCACATCACCTCTAAACAGTAATTGTCTTCTTCAGTCAAACACCAGAACTGGACTGAACCAGTTCATGGTCAAACACACTTGCAACACCTTGTTTTTCTGAAGTGACAGAGTATTGGGGGTTTTGCTCAGAATACTTGCATTTCTATTAACATAAATGAATGCAAGATGCAACGGCATCAGGCTAAGGTCACAAATTAGTCCTAAGGTTTTGAAGATGATTGACACACGCTATTTTCTCGCACTGGCACAGCTGGAACACTACCACTGCTACAAATACCAGCATCTGTTCAGTAACACTGATACCTTCAAAGACTCACAAATTTAGTGGAGGCAGCTTTCAGTTGCAAGTTTGCTCTCAACAGCCAGGATAAAATTTGAGTAAGAAGAATGACTGTCTGTCCTTCAAGTATTTCCCCCCCAGGCTACTCTACTTTTGTAAAGCCTCGATGGTCTTCTCTGCAGGCAAAGTAACAAACACATTATGGAGTCACAGAAGTGAAGCTTCTCTCAACTCAACTAGAGCATCCAAAACACTCAAGACAAAACCAGAAATCTCAGTCTGGCAATGGAACAAGGGTCATTATGTTTAATCAAGCAAGTTTACATTTGGAAATTTTATTTTATCTGTTCATAAGATGCTATGACAGCCAGAACTAGCTTCGTCTCATAAACTCTTGCTCCTCTTTTGATTTAAAATAAAGTAATAAAAGGAAAAAATAAAGAAAAAGATCAGCTATTCACTTAGGCGAACTTCCAAGAGAAGACCTAAGACTAAAAGGAAGAAGGTAACTCAGAACCATGTTAGTTCCACTTTAAAATCCTCCCACTTGCCCTGGCATTTCAGAGACTAGAACAATTAGTGCTAACAGAATATCGCAAATGTTTTTTGGGGAAGCTGTCAGAGTTTGAGAAGTTAAAGACAGAAGTTTTCTACATGCTGATAGTGTGTGTATATATACATATACATAAAGAAAAACAGAAGGATGTTTTCTCCCCTTACTAGAGAGGAGTACTCAGTAGAGTACAAGACACGCAAAGGAAACCACAGCACGGGGGCATACAAGTCCATTCATCAGGTAGATGTTTCAGACCTTAATCAGTCACCTCAAGGCCTTGCAACCCCTCCCAACCTTCTCAGTCTATCAACTGACCTGGCAGCCTAAGTTGCTTAATTAGGCCCATGACATGCAGGCCTGTATAAAATGGGAAATACAATCAAAACAAAGAACGTACTCAAACTAGCCCAAGGCACTAGAAGTTACTAAATGAGAATTACCAATCAGATGATTGTACTTACATGGAACAGTTTCTCAGTCTTCGGAAATACTGCTATGATATCGTATAACCTTATATTTGCAGATGTTGATCTCTACAAAAGGAGGAAACAATCGCTACAATCACTACCTTGAATTCTGGCACATGCCAAAGCTATGCACAATGATCACGACCAAAATAATGGTAAGAAAATCCCCTTTTGACTTTCAAGTTATAAAACAAAGCCAATAATAATCTAATTTCATAGCAGGTCTTTGCTGTGAGACATGCTGTGAAGTCATCAAGTCTCATTTTGAGGCTTGTCCCACGCAGCTAATAAAGTACTTACACCTTTTGCTTTGATCATGTAGCACTAAAACATAAACAGACACAGGGCTTGCTCATGGTCTTCTAGTTTGTGCACAGAAACCCAGAGATTAAAGAAAAGAACTGAAGAACAGAACTGTTGTCCCATATTGACAAATGACCAACAGAAGCCATATCCAGTCTGCATCTCTTCATGATCAAATTATTTGCTACAGATGCGATCTGAGAAATCACTGCTGAGTGTCCTATAAAATCCACAAAGTTCTCCCCATACAACTTCCAAAGTTTCAATCGTGCATTCAGAAGAGAAAATAAAAATTGGAAAATCAATATCCTAAATATACTTACTAAGAGATTGCAGTGGGAAGGATCAGAAACAACAAGTGTTAACCGGGTTAAGACTTTAATTCTTTTAGATGTCCCCTACAAAAGAAGAAATAATATAGAAGACTTAAAAAGCTCCAAAGCAAAAATTTGTGGCGACTTTTACCCTGTCCGCTATAAAAAGAAAATGGTGCCTTGCTCATATTCTTGCCCACACTAATTTTCTAAAGTCTGTAGTTACACTTTCCTATTTTATATTGATCTGTTTGATATTATACCTGCCCTTTACAAATGACGTACTGTGTTTCTCAGGTCAATAGACAGGAGAAAGAAAGAAATGAAGAAAGAAAAAAGTACAATCATGCAGAAAAACTGAGTATGTTTTAACACTGCTGTGGTTACCCAGGCAGGCCACAACTGCAAGCAAAGCAGTTCCTGAATTAACATAAGTCAGTGATTTGAAATACAGTTTTGGTTCATTATATCCAAATCTTCCTCCATCAAAACCAGGAAGTTATTTCCAAAACTCAAATTATACTGTAACTACTCAACTACAAGAAGATTCAAAATTCACAAGAAGCAATTTCTTTAATAATTTCTAAAATAATTAATAGAGCCTACTCTGACATGAGCGTATTGTTCTTCCAACGCTGGGAGTTTTAACAATCAAACAATGGAGAAACTTCTCTTTTTTGATCAACATGTAATACACAAAATCACATATATAAACACACCAAGGGAAAAATGTAACTTGGAATAATAATACATAGATAGAACATAACTAGGTTTAGGCTAGATATAAGGAAAAAATTCTTTACAATGAGGGTGGTAAACCACTGGAACAGGTTGCCCAGAGAGGTAGTGGAGGCCCCATCCCTGGAAACATTCAAGGCCAGGTTGGATGGGGCTCTGAGCAACCTGATCTAGTTGGCGGTGTCCCTGCTGACTGCAGGGGGGTTGGACTCGATGACCTCTAGTGGTCCCCTCCAACCCAAAACATTCTATGATTCTATGATTCTATGAACATGTAATACACAAAATCACATATATAAACACACCAAGGGAAAAATGTAACTTGGAATAATAATACATAGATAGAACATAACTAGACATACTTGTACAATAGGCAAAGATGGAAACAACTCTGAAGGGGATACTGGCTTGACGATTTCCTTAAAAGAGAACAAAACAATGTTATTCAAAATGTCATGGGTTAAGTTAATTTGCCATGCTAACAGAACTATTTCCCAGGGACAATACATGGACCATATTAAAAGTTAACTCCAGGGCAATTATACCGAATTGTAAAATGGGAGTTCTGTCACAAAGGTACTTTCACACGTTTGTACTTGTGTCTAGATATGTGTTCTGCAGATAAAGCTATTTGGGAACATGTAATAAGCCATGTAGGTTTACAGAAGAAAACACATTAAGAACAAAGAACTCTAACAAAAATTACCTGTTTCTTTTCTTTAAAATCGATGACATGATTAAGAGCAACTGCGGAATACCCCACTGAAAAAGTAAACATATAGTAAGAATATTTCGTCCAGTAAGCTAATGTAAACAAATCCAAACAGAAAACTGTTAGACACTCATCACTTAAATGCCTCAAAAAATAATCACATGCATATTTACCTTCCACATTATTTTCTTCTGAAGATTAATTCACCTAAAAAGTGCCTTAAAATAAAAAAAATTCCGTTTGCCTTTTAATACACCCCAGCCCTGACAACACTTACTTAATGGCAGAGCTTTATGAACGTGAATACTTGGGGTTGGGGTCCCCAAAGATGTTGCCCTAGTTTGGTCCTGTTGATGACCTTCTTTAGGGAAAATGGTTAAAGACATTCAGGAGAGTCATTAAAACTGCAGGCAACGCAGAGCTGGGAGAGAGATGGCTCCAAGAGAAGGCAAGGTGAGCATTCAACGTGATGCTGACAAAACTGACGGAAAGGTCTCCTTCAGCGGGGATCAGAGAAAGATGGTACGCTCGCCAAAGCCAAATCACCCCCCCAGGCACTGGACGGGCAGCACCTGGCTGCACAGGTTTTGCAGAAGAAAGAGATTTAGGCCATAAGAAACTGCAAGTGGAAAAAGGCGTCCACCTTGGGAAAACCCCGCTGTTACACCGGGGTAAACAGGCAGAGCCAGAGCCCGCAAGGAGCAACGCGAGCCTTCCCGGCTGCTCAGCGCCGCCCTGGCCGCTGCACCTGCGGAGAGCCCCGGGCCGAGCGGGGAGGGCGGAGAGGGGCGAGGGGGAGCCCGACCCGCCAGGG